TTTTTATTCTTCTTCTTATATATTGACTTCCATTATCTGTTAGATTTATTCCATTGTTGCTTACAATTTGTTTTTTATCACAACTGTATTATTTGCCTCGTCTCCTTTGCTCTCTAATAACTAAATCATGAAATTGGAGATACGTTTTGAATTGAATGAACCGAAAAAGGGAACTAAAATTTCTGAGGAACCCGTTTCTTGAAAATTCATCTTCCCAAAAACACAACCAATATATAAGCTATGTTTGGTAGACAAATAAGTTAGCTTATAGCTTATTTGGTTAGCTTATAAGCTCCATGTTTTCAATTAAGCTCCGTTTGGTAGGACGAGCTTTTTTAAAAAGTTGATAAGCTTCTTTAGGTAGCTTTTCAAATAAGCTCGTTGAAATTTTTATTTCAGCTAGCTAATTTTACCAAACACCTTTATCATAAAACTAGCTTTTCAGCTATAAATCATAAGCTATAAGCTGTAAGTTCAAAAATTACTTGTCAGCTATAGGCTAGCTTATCAGCTATCAACTAGTTTATCAGCTAGTTTTACCAAACATAGCCTATGGTGTCTCGTATTTTAGTCACAATCCTATTTCTCTTTCCTTATTTTTTCCTCAAATATATTATTGATCAATCTCATTTGATATTGCAAATTCATTTCTGAAATATTAATTACTAACATAACAACTTATAGATTTTATCTCGGCGAACAACTTCAATAACATAATTTTTTATTTATTTAAATATTTATGTGTGTGTTTCATCTAACCTTTACCAATTTAAGTACGTCTGAGATAGACATGGAAGCATTTGAGAAACACAAATGTTGCTCTTCTAAAGGGTAATAGCAATTGTTGCAAACTTGAGATGTCCTATGGATTTAACGCCCCTTACTGTAATCTATGTCTTATTTCGTTTTTGGATTAACATACCATCTCAGTTCAACAAATGTTGGTATTGCCTTCTTAAAATAAGAATGATAAGCCCATGTTATTCATCATATTTGTTCCCGTAGTGTGCTTAATTGTGTATGGTGGAGCTTTGGTCCTCATATCAGTGCACATTGTCATCCAAGAACTTTTTTGTTGATCTTGTGGTCGTAATACGTAGTTTGTGAAACGATAGATGCTTGTATATGTATATATACATATATATATATATATGTATTTGGGTTTAATTAGAAAACATAGCGTTTGAAATGTAGTTTAACTCGAGAACCTCAAAGTGCCTTTTGGAATGTACGTACCTCATCCTGAATACATAATATCTGATTAGAAAAGGCTAACTTTCATGGGTTCTTTTAATAGCTATTTAATGGGATGAGCGGCCTTTAGGATAGTGTTTATCTTGATATCATTTTTTCATTGATAGACCAGTCCAGAAATCTTATATCTGAAGTATTTGGACAGCTTTTGTTTTAAGACACCCTCTTGTTGCAAGTGCTGTTTTCGGAACAACTAAACTGTGGCAGCTCGAGGAAGTACTCAATGGTTGCACCGTGCAGCTTACTCCAGAGATAGTTGCGGAAATTAATGAAGTTCACTCAGCTTTTCCTAATCCTTGTCCCTAACAAACATGACATTCTCTGTAAGCTTGGTGTTCGAATTTGTCTACAGTTAAAAATTAGTGTTGAAAAGTAGGAGTGAGATTTTTTTCTTGTCCATGGATATGTTTTAGTTTTTATTTGGCAAAAGGGTATCAAATGTGCAGGACAAGAATTATGATTATTTGGACTTTTGCAGGTAAAGTTGCAATTGTAATTGTTTGTGGGTGAATTCACTCACATACTCTACTCACACACCTACAAGGGTGTGTGTTGATCTGACAATAAGAGTATATGTTGATCCGACAATTAAATCCTTGTGGGGTAAGGTATTCAAATGGACGAGATCTAATTGTGTTTATTAGATGTTTTATATGTTCGATTACCAATATGATGTTATTGATGTTTATATTGTGCGTATTTAGAACTCAGTCAGATGTGTTAGTTTTCATTTGAATAATCATCTTTTGTTTAAAAAAAATTCAGCACCCAATGGTTTTTAGCTTTTTTTTTTGCAGTCATCGATTTCAACCAATTAGTTAAGGGTGCCATTGCAGTTTACTTAATACTGATCATATATACAGATTAATAAGTAGGGAAATGCTTTCCTACCTACGGTGGGCACATGTTAATACATTTTTATCAAATAATGCCACATGTAAATACATTTTTATCAAATAATTTTTATTTGTATATAATTCGGGTTATTGTGAAAGCTTAAGTTGTGCTTGTATATTGTGAATACAAGAAGAGTCTTACAGAGGACAGTATACAAAATAGCATAGTACCAGAGCAAACGATTCTTTAACCTAAAATCTCTTCTGTTGCCATCTCGTTCTTTTTCTTCTCTATCTCTATCATGGGTGAAAAATCTTCTTCCTCTTCTCTTCATCCCACACAAACGGTGCACACCATAGAAAATTTGGTCCCATTGACCCTTGATCTCCAAAGGGTTCAATATCACACTTGGGTGTAACTATTCCAGATTGCTTTTCGTGCCCTTAACGTTATGGACTACATTGATGATCCCAAAAATACTCGCCAGATCTTGATGTTTCCAAGACCAAATGGCAGCAATTAGATGTTCTAGTCATCTCTGGATTTATGTTTTATCTCTGAAGATCTCCTTCTTACCGTCATACAACTAGAACGTCATACAACTAGGATTGTATTGAGTATGAAGATCTCCCCGTGGCTCTCTTGTTGCTCCGACTTCCAGGCTACTCAGGCATACTTAGTGGACTCCACTCCCACTGAGCTCCACCATGCCTTCTCTATGAATCTACAAGCACCAGATGATTCGTGGTATATGGACATAGGTGCCTCCTCACACTTGGTTGCTCACTCGGGTAAGTTGCATGTAATTTTTAATTCAAGTTCAATTCCTCATGTCTTGGTTGGAAATGGATCCTTAATTCTTGTTCAAGGATCCCACATAGCACATCTCACTCCTAACCTTTCCTTACAAAATGACCTTACCCCACACATTATCACAAACCTTGTCTCTGTACGAAAATTTACTTGTGATAATAATGTGTCTGTTGAATTTGACCCCTTTGGTTTTTTCGTGAAGGATCTTCAAACGGGGGTACCATCATGCGATGCAATAGTTCAGGGGGCCTCTATCCCGTCACTAAATTTATCAAGTCTAATCCTTTATCACTTGTTGTCATCTCTCCTCCTCATTTATGGCATCATCTTTTGGGCCACCCTGGAAAGCATGTGACCATTTTCTTGAGCAAAAATAAATTCATCCCATAATAGCTCCAATTTGTGTCACTCTCGTGAGATTGAAAAACACAAACGTTCGCCATTTTCTATGTCTACATCTGTTACTTTTTCTGCTTTTGATATTTTTTATAGTGATTTGTGGACTTCTCCTGTTTTATGTGGCAAAGGTCATCATTTTTACCCCGTATTTCTTGATCACTTTACAAATTATGATTGGGTGTATCCTCTTAAATACAGTTTGAGGCTTACTCTAAGTTTATTCAGTTCCTTACACTTGTCAAAACTCCGTTTGAAAAAGAAATGAAAACCTTTCAATGTGATATGGGTCGAGAATTTGATGATACACTTTTTTTGGCATGTTTTCTACTAAACATGGTATGCAATTTCGTTTTTTCTTGCCCCCACACTTCTTACACAAAATGGAAAAGTTATAACGAATTATTTTTATTTTCAACAACGTCACTCGCACCATTCCCATGCATTCTTCCATGCCCCCTGATGGAGACGAGACCGTGATTGCGTTTCTAAATAAATATGATCGTCTTCATATTTAGCTTTATTAATTATAGTATTTTATTATTATTTCTTTCTATCTAGTTGGTAGGAGAATGTTATTATTTCCTTATTTCCTTCTTTCTAGTTGGTAGGAGAATATTTATTTATTTGGTATTTTCTTTTTTAACAAGTTAGGTTCTTTTTAGTTTTGAGAGCCTTATATAAAGGACTCTCCTGCTTCATGGTTACTTGGTGAATTGATAATAAGATTTGATTGAGTTTTGTGAGTTTTACCGAGAGAATCTCGTTTATCTTTCCTATTCGTACGCTTCCCTACATCAGTTGGTATCAGCAGTCAGTACGATTCGTGATGCCGCCGGGACGATAAGATGTCGCAAACGAATGACGTGAAGCAACTTTCAACGATCGGTTCAACAGATCGACGATAGATTTCAACATTTGGACGAGCGCTTCACGAATTGGTTTGCAGATCTTTCGATGGGGATCGATGATTTGCGTTTACGACGTGGTCCAAGAATTGCAGACGAACCGTGACGCCGACGGCCGGGGCGTGCACGAGGGGTTTAGCGGTGGACATGGTGGCTGTGGTCTAGGTTGGGACACCCTAGGTGTTGGACGATATCGCAGCTAGCGGCGGCCTGAGGAAAGTTTTGTTTATGAATTGCCGCCCAATCGCGCAGCTCTAGATGGTGATTTCTGTCAGGCTACTACAGGCGAGGACGGTGCGCGGCGGTGGCCGGCCACAGGAGGAGCGTCGCACCGCTGCCGACGGCGGTGACTTCCTTGACCGCGAGCCGCGCTGGACCGCCGAGGGTTTTGCCATGGCCGACGAGTGCGATTGGCGACATCAGACGATCGATTTTGGCGAAAGCGGAGACTGTGAGGCTCGACGGGGCCAACCTTAGACAGAGGTGGGTTTTGTTGGGTCTGGTTTTTGCAACCGGCGGCGCACTGCCACAGGTTTCGCCGGTGACGACGGCCGCAATGCATAGCGAGGCAGCAGGGTAACGGAGGTGCTCAATTTTTCTGTTTCAGCAGAGGTCCGGTGCTGGTACAGAAGGCAGATGCTGAGGGCTTTGGTCGCGAATTTGGACGATGGGTGGGACCGTTTTGCGTTGACATCCCCGAATTCGATGGAGAACAAGTTGACGGGCCATTGTACGACGGTCCGCACATTTTTAATGAGAAGCCTCCGGTGACAAAGACATATTTTTATGACAATTTGGGTCCCGCGTGGGACGTAGAAAAAGTTGAGTCTTCGAATGGGAAGCCGTCGTTCGCACCCGATTTTCGGAGTGATTTTTCAGAGCCGAAACCAGGGCTCAATAACTGGTCGGCCATTTTTCGATTGTCTATCGCAAAGTCTCCCAACAACGGAATGCTTATCCATAGTTATGAATTTGAGCGCGGTGAACGATGTGGAATGTTTGGTCTTAATTCTGTTGTGTGGGTTATGCATATGGAAGCGTGTACATGTGCCTTTGCAGCAGTTCAGTCCTTGCCCAAGATTATGTTTACTATCGGGGTTGTTGGGCAACCTTCATCCTTCGTGATCGATAGGGGAAAATGTAGATGATTCCTGCGTATGACTCCATGGAGACGAGACCGGTTCGGATTCGCGGCCGAATCCTTCTCAACTGAGGGAGGATGATGGAGACGAGACCGCGATTGCGTTTCTAGATAAATATGATCGTCTCCGTATTTAGCTTTATTAATTATAGTCTTTTATTATTATTTCCTTATTTCTAGTTGGTAGGAGAATATTACCATCTCCTTATTTTCTTATTTCTGGTTGGTAGGAGAATATTTATTTATTTGGTATTTTCTTTTTAGCAAGTTAGGTTTTTTTAGTTTTGAGAATCTTATATAAAAGACTTTTCTGCTTCATTATTACTTGGTGAATTGATTGAGTTTTGTAAGTTTTATCGAGAAAGTATTTCATTTATTTTTCCTATTCGTACGCTCCCTACATCACCCCAACACTGAGTTTAAGCTCTTCTTATGGCCTCTTATCTCCACAATATTCTTCATGCTTCTACTTTGTCCTTTGGCACTCCAACATGTTTTGTTTATGCTCGTATGCCATTGTACAGTCATTTTCGAGTCTTTAGTTCTTTGGAAAGTGTAAAAAGAGGTTTATGAGGAGTTATTGTTAAAAATGCTCTTATAAATGCTTGGATATAAAAATTTTTGGATTTGTTTGAATTTTTGGTTTAGTTTGGTTAATTTTGAAAAATGTGGTATGGTTAGTTGTTAGTGGGTATATTAAAATAATATTTAAAATAAAATAATTAAAGTTGATTTGATGTAAAAGTATGAGAGAGATTTAAAGTGATGATTAGTTAAAATTATGTGAGTAGATGAATAGTGAATTAAGGTTGATGTGATATGTAAGAATGATTGGTTGCTATTATTTAATTATATTAATAATATTAATGATAATTGAGTTGAGTTAAAGTTGAGTTAAAAAAAATGATTGAGTTAAAAATGTTTGGATTTTTTAGATAAATTTTGTATCCAAGACCATATATTTTACCCCTAATTACTCTAATATATTAACTGGGCAAGGCTAAACTGTGTCTTTGAGCAATTCCTTGTTCTCCAAAAACCCTAAAACCCTAGCCCCCAACCAAGCTTCCCTGTCCCCAATTCCCCATCAATGGCGGAAACTTTCCCCGTCAAACCCAAACTCCGGCCCACCTCCGGCAAAACCACGCCCACCCCTGAATCCAAGTACTGGAGATCCTTCAAAATCCCCAAAGACATTGAAACAACCCCTGCAAAGTCCTTCGTCTACCCCATCAATTCCATCTCTTTCTCCCCGGTCGCCCCCCACGACTTCGCCGCCGCCCATTCCGCCACAGTCTCCATCTTCTCCGGCCAGACCCTCGACCGCAGATCCACGATCTCTGACTTTTCCGACACCGTCGCATCCGCCTCCTTCCGCTGCGACGGCAAGCTTCTCGCCGCGGGGGACCTGACGGGCACCGTCCACGTGTTCGACGCCAGGTCCCGCGGCCACCTCCGGCGCCTGAAAGGCCACTCCGCCGCCGCTCGACTCGTCCGTTACCCCCGCGCCGCCGACAAGACCCACCTCTTCTCCGGCGGGGATGACTCCGTCGTCAAGTACTGGGACGTCACTGCCGAGAGATGCCAGCTCGATCTCCTAGGCCACAAGGACTACGTCCGGTGTGGGGATACATCGCCGGAAAATGACAGCCTGTTCGTCTCCGGCTCATATGACCACAGAATCAAGCTCTGGGATGTGAGGTCTGGGCCAGGCGGCAATACAGGCTCGGTTATGGAGCTCGACCACGGAAAGCCTGTCGAGAGCGTGATTTATCTGCCGTCGGGCAGCCTGATTGCCACTGCCGGCGGCAATTTCGTGAAGATATGGGACGTGATTGGCGGTGGGAAGCTGCTCTACTCAATGGAGAGCCATAACAAGACCGTGACCTCACTTTGCCTTGGTAAATTCACTAAAGCAGGTGAAAATGAGGACGCGCAGCATAGAATCATGAGCGTCTCCTTAGACGGCTACTTGAAAATATTCGACTACTCAAAGTTCAAGATAACTCACACCATGAGATTTCCTGAGCCTCTTTTGTCAGTGGGATTCTCACCCGACTGCTCGACTCGTGTGATGGGGACTTCCAAGGGAAATCTTTACATCGGGAGAAAAAAATCGAAAATGGGGGCCTCCGAGGACCTAACTGACCGTGTAGTTTGGAAAGGCATAGCAGATAATGGCGGTAAAGCTCGAAGGAAGGTCTTGAGGCCCTCGTATTTTAGGTACTTCCACAGAGGCCAGAATCTGAAGCCTTCTGAGGGGGATTACCTGATTAAAAGGCCCAAAAAAGTGAAATTTGCCGAACACGACAAGTTGCTGAAGAAATTCAGGCATAAGGAGGCACTGGTGGCGGCTTTAGGTAAAAGAAATCCCGAGAATGTGGTGGCTGTAATGGAGGAGTTGGTGGCTCGTAAAAAGTTGCTGAAATGCGTGTCAAATGTGGACTCGGATGAGCTTGGATTGTTGTTGGGGTTCTTGCAGAAGTACTCGACAATGCCGAGGTATTCGGGCTTTTTAACAAAGTTGGCGAATAAGGTTGTTGAGTTGCGGGCGGAGGATATTAGGTCTTCTGATGAGTTGATGAGTTGTATTAGGAATCTGAAGAGAGATGTTGAGGAGGAGATTAGGGTACAACAGTCTTTGCTGGAAGTACAGGGCATAATTTCGCCAATGCTGAGGATTGCTGCGAAAAGGTGATGTTTTTGGGTAGTGTTTGTGCTGCTTTTATTTTTATATGTACTGGGATTTTGTTGGATTTAGGAGGATTTGATTGCTTGATTCAGTTTTGTGCTCCTTTCTTGTTTGTGATATGTTTGTTGAGACAATAGTGGTATTTTGGTTCACATGTTTCTGCACTTAATACTAGGATTGCTACTTCTTTTTTGTGTTTTGCAAAAAATGTATCTTGTGGCTTTAGAAGATCCAATAATGCTGATTTTAGACTGCTTACTGCTTAATAGTTAGACAACCATAGGTATAAATATGCATATTTATTAACAAATTATGACTGTCTTAACTATTGGACAACTTGAGCGTTTGCTCTTGGTGTCGGTTATATGAAGACTTTACATGTCAGATCAATTTTTATGATTAGAGCTAGTTGATGAATATAGTTGAGAGTGGCAGAAAAATTGACTTTACAGATCAGATCAATTTATATGCTGAAGTTAGTTGATGAATATAGTTGAGGGGGGCAGAAAAATTATTATTTCAGATCAATTTATATGCTGACAGTATTGAATATTGATGAATTGGACATCTTTAATGTGGTAAGTGTGAATGTCGTCTTTTCACTAAAGAAAAGAACTATTGGGATTTAGAAAGCAATCAGCCAATGTAGGTGGCAATGTATTGCTTGGAGGACTGAGTAAAATTGTAGTTGTATGCATCAATTCTGGCTGGAGTTTCTATTTTTAATGGGCACATAGACACATTGAAGTTTAGGTTTTATTTATTTCTCTAGTTAAACATTTTGAATTTAGTTTGCTTCTTTGTAAATAAAATTTTGAAATTAAATTAGAACAGTTTTTTCCCTTTATTGGGGCCCTTTATATCATGATTCATGGTGATACCTTATAGGTATATCATGATTCCTGGTGATGGCTTATAGGGATCATAACAGGGCTCATTTTGCTTTAGATTATAGTATTATATTTGATTTTAAGTTGATTGTAATTATACATACCAATATGCACAGACCAATTGCGCGAAAAGAGGGCATCTTTTTGTTGGAAACATAAAAGGTTTTAGAGCTCAATGTGTAGCACTTCAACATACAGTAGGATTATAGTCTTATAATACTTTCTTTTAAATTAATAATCTCTACATTTAAATATAATTTGTTGTTGATAATCTCTCTCTCTATCTCTATATGAGTGTGTGTGTGTCAAGCTATTATGCTAAAAAAGAATCAATTTTGCATTTTTTAATTTTTCTATGTCTATTTCCTATTAATCTTGTGAATTTTTTTTTGTCTTTGTCGAGTAAGGTAAATTTTTGAAAATTCCAAAAAATTAATTTGTCACATTGTATGACGCGCTCCATTCTACACAATGTTTGATAAAATCACCAATGAAGTTATTATCAAGATTGATTAAGTACTTTTATTTAATTCTTTACATTGATTAATTGGTAAACCAAACGACTGTAATATGAAAATTTAATTTAATATATAGTAGTCGAATATAAAAAAAGGTAAGATTTTTTTCATGTAAAAACATGGGATCATTTTGTAAAGTACAAAACGAATTACTTGTATATATATATAACTATATGCAAAAATTCTATGGAGTCATCGGATGGTTTTTTAATGGAACCATTCATTACTTAATGTATTGACACATGTCTAAATTGTATTTATTGCAGGACACGTGTCAATACATTATTGATGATGGAATCATTCATTACTTAATGTATTGACACATGTCCAAATTGTATTTATTGCAGGACACGTGTCAATACATTATTGATGAATAAGTGTGGATGGCTCTATAGCAAAACTGATAAAATTGTAATGAGTTAAGACCAACTATATATTACTACGAGCTTATACAAATGCGTGATTGTCTAACTATTAAGTGGTCTGTGGGCAAAATTTGTATTACATAAAATATAGAACTTTCATACGAAATGCCATTCTTTAAATATGAATGTTAACAATAAAAAAATAACAATATTGTCAAAAAGAATAAGGATTGAGCCGATTAGACCTTCTAAATATCATAATTTATTCCAAAATGTCACTTGAGGAAAAAATTGTTGTTTGTATTTTACATTGGTTGACCGGTTATATTATTATTTATTACATTAAAGACAGATAATTAATTGAAAGCGAAGCTGTATAGGAACCGACTATTAATTAAAAAGGCGTTTAGGTACCAAAATCAGGTGAGACCCATGTCCTACAAAAAATAAATAAATAAATAAACAAAAATACAAATATCAGGTGGCCAACTTGCAAGTTGTACCCGACCCGACAAAATATAGCTGAGTGGCGCAAAACAGAAATAAACAAATCCATCATTCGTCACGAAAAGAGTTCAAGCAACGGCCATTAAATAGTGGTCAGAACCAAAAATTTGAAATTAGGGGCCTATTTTAATAATAATTCAATAAACCCTTCAAAAAAATCCTCATAAAAAGAACCCCACCTCCCTCTATAATAAATGCGCGCAGGCACAGCTACACAAAACACAGTCAAAAAGAAAATTCAAAACTCTCCATTTCTTCATTTAATAAAATCTCTCTCACCCCAAAGCCCTTCTTCATCTTCTTCTAGAGAGCCAGCTTTTTTTTTCATTTTTTTTTTTTTTC